CTAATTTACAGATTAATAGCTGTCCTTTCATCTTTTCTTAATGCACTAAAAAGATGACTGTAATATCTATATATAATGAGGACTTGTCAACTTGCAAGCTTCTTTATAGAACTATTGGTCAAGAATTCAGACATTTCTGGGGCGCCTGGGTGGCTCAGTTGTTAAGCGTCTGCCTTCAGCTCGGGTCGTGATCCCGGGGTCCTGGGATCGAGCCCCGCATCGGGCTTCCTGCTCTGCGGGAAGCCTGCTTCTCCCTCTCCCACTCCCGCTGCTTGTGTTCCCTCTCTCACTGTGTCTCTCTCTGTCAAATAAATAAACAAAATCTTAAAAAAAAAAAGAATTCAGACATTTGTTTGTCAGTCTCAAAATGTTAGTATTACAGGTTTTCTCCTGGGCTGTTCCATTTCTCCAGAGAAGAGTCTTCTCATCTCTCTTCTCTATAGGAGAAAAATCCTATACATGTAAAGAATGTGGGAAAACCTTCAGCAGGAAATCAATTCTCACAAAGCATGAGAAAATTCATATTGGAGAAAAACCTTTTAAATGTAATGAATGTGGAACAGCCTTTAGCCAGAAGCAATATCTCATTAAACATCACAACATTCATACAGGAGAGAAACCCTTTGAGTGTAATAAATGTGGAAAATCCTTCTCTCAAATTACATCACTTTTTGTACAGGTGAGAATTCACACAGGTGATAAGTCTTATGATTATGAGGTATGTGGGAAAGCCTTCTCACAAAGCTCATCTCTTACTGTACATACGAGAAGTCATACAGATGAGAAACCCTATGGATGTAATCAGTGCGGGAAAGCTTTCTGTTCATTCTCAGCTCTTGCTTTACATGTGAGAACACATACAGGTGAGAAGCCTTATCAGTGTAGAGATTGTGGGAAAGCATTCAGCCAGAAGTCACACCACGTTAGGCATCAGAAAATTCATACTCATTAAAGATAATATTAATGCCTTGATAGCAAAGCCTTCAGTAGGAACTTACACCTCCTACACATCAGAGAATTCATCGTGGGGTAAAACATTATGAATGTAGGAAAGCCTTTAGCAGGAGCTCAAAATATGAGATATCAGAACATTCTTATGAGGAGAAACATTAATATAATGAAAATCCTGAGTCCAACAAAATTTTCAGTAAACATCATAGTTAATGCTGAACCTTTGGAAACATTCCCATTAAAGTCAGAGACAAGGGGCGCCTGGGTGGCTCAGTCGGTTGAGCGACTGCCTTCGGCTCAGGTCATGATCCCAGGGTCCTGGGATCGAGTCCCACATCGGGCTCCCTGCTCTGTGGGGAGCCTGCTTCTCCCTCTCCCACTCCCCCTGCTTGTGTTCCCTCTCTCGCTGTGTCTCTCTCTGTCAAATAAATAAATAAAATCTTTAAAAAAAAAAAAGTCAGAGACAAGACATGGATGCCTGATATCACAAGTTAGTATAATCCTAGAGACCAGAGCCAATGCAATAAAATGAAGAAGTATAAGGATTGAAAAGGAATACATATTTTCAGATGATATAATTTTTATATAGTTATGATTATTAAAACTTTGTGATATGCATTAATAGATATTAGGTTAATAGAATGGAATATGAAGCCTACATACAGTTCAATTCTGTAAAGAAATTATGACCTAATTAAACAATGTTTTGGGTGATTATTGCCTTTCTCTGTAGAAAAAAAGATTCCTACCTCTTATCGTACATTGAAAAAAGAAAAATCCACTGTGAAAAAAAAAATCTGAAACTTTAGGAAAATGACTTAGTAAACCTGAATAGATTTTCCTAAAGTATACCTCAAAACACCCCAAAATTTCTTTTTTTAGTATTATGCCTTAGAGAAACTCCAATACAATAGAGAGAGATGTGTACCATAATGTTCTTTGCAGTGTGATTTCTGGCAGCAAAAACTATTAGCATGATTTCTAGCAGCCAAATATTGGGAGTGGAAGGAATTGGAAATGCCTGTCATTAGGTAAAAGGTTGAATAAAATGTGTTATATTTATATGATAGAATAATGTACAGCAATTTACCGCAACAAACCATATCTAAATGGATTAATAAGGATGATCTAAAAACCATGATCTTGAGTGAAAAACAAATCAAAGGGCAGATGATGCACATAATATAATAATATCTCTAACTGGAATAAAACAACATTAGATTGTATATTGGTTATGGGTATAGATATGTATGGAAAGGTATAAAAAAGGATTGGATGATTGTATGCTAAATTCGTGATGGTGATTGCCTTTGGGGACAAGGAAGAAGAATGGGATGGGGTGATGGTTACAGAGATTTTGGCTTCACATCTAAATATGTATGTTATTTAAAAACTACAAAGAAACATAAAATATTTTACTTCTACATGGTGGTAATACACATATTTGTCTTGCTATTTTTTGTGTTTGTGAAGTTCTTCATAGTTGAAAAGGTGGATTTATATTACCAATAGAAATAACGTAACAGTGGTCTCCATTTCCAGTCAGATTACTAAAGGTGTATTTTTTGAGAAGTTTTTGTAAGCTGTTAGGTCTATTGAACATCACAAACCATAAGCTATGAAAGAACTTTGGGGGGCGCCTGGGTGGCTCAGTCAGTTAAGCATCTGCCTTCGGCTCGGTTCATGATCCCAGGGTCCTGGGATTGAGCCCCACTGCATTGGCTCCACGCCCAGTAGGGAGTCTGCTTGTCTCTCCTACCCTTCCCCTGCTCGTGCTCTCTCTCTCTCAAATAAATAAATCTTTTTTTAAGTAAATAAATAAATACCAGTCCTTACTAAGTAATCCTGTCTTCCAGCTGTGTGTTGGCCTTGATACATATGCAGCTTCCTGCTCTGTCATAGAAAGAAAGCAGACCTCTCAGGCCACCTGCACCACACAACACTTTCCCAGGAACTTCTTTAGTCAGGCACCTCTTCCTTCCTCGCTCCTCACACTTAATTGTGTAAGAAGGAGTTTACCACCACGTACTGCCATGCCCTGGTGTGGCCACAGGAGCTCAGCCAAGCACTGGAGAGTGCAGTAAGAGTGGCAGAGGGGCTGTGTTCAAGAAATCCAGAGAGTCTGCAGCTGCCCCTCAAAGACCATTCCACACATTCATTTTCTAATTAGTCACACGTCAAAGGGGAGCAGAGGGACAGATGGATGGACTAGCATTCACACAAGCTGTGGTTGAAAGAATTCTGATTTTCCAAAACTGGTCTAACAGGGTGGTAGATGTGGTGATGTTAGTTGGGGTGGAAGAAGATTCATACCGTGTATTTGTTTAGTGACCCCAAAGATTTTAAATTATATTATCATTTGTATTTAATGACCATTAAATGCTCAGAAACTGATTAAGGTACCATGTTTTGACTCACAGTTTTTACGCCAAACCATTTCTTTGTTGTGTTTTGTTCTCTAAAAAATTCTAAGATTTACCCAACTCTGATTATATTTGTATTTCTCATGCCTATGTTTTAAAATTTGTATCCATGGGTTTTCTTTTGTCCCTTTCTTCTGAATCCTGGAAGAACTTTGTCTTTGACATCAGTGATATGATTTTTGAAGTGTCAATTTTTTTTTAAAGATTTTATTTATCCACTTGACAGAGAGAGAGAGCACAAGCAGGCAGAGTGGCAGGCAGAGGGAGAAGGAGAAGCAGGCTCCCCGCTGAGCAGAGACCCTGATGCGGGGCCAGGATCCTGGGATCATGACCTGAGCCAAAGGCAGACACTCAACCAACTGAGCCACCCAGGTGCCCCTGAAGTGTCAATTTTTTAAAAAATTGAGTTATAGCTCTCAGCTGCTAATACCAATGCTTCTTATAGTGGTGAAGTTTTGGTAGTTACTCAGAATTGTTAGATTCAGTTATATGCAGTTTTGTTTTTTGGTAGGGGAGAAAAATGTTTTTCTAATAGAACGTATTTCTGAAAACTTCTAATTGCTTACTATGTAAAATTACTCAACTAATTTATTAAAAATGAAATCAGAGGGGCACCTGGGTGGCTCAGTTGGTTAAGTGTCTGACACTTGATTTTGGCTTAGATCATGATCTCAGGGACATGAGATCAAGCCCTGTGTTGCTACACTCAGCATGGAGTCTGCTTGAAATGCTGTCTCCCCTCTCTTTTTGCCCCTCCCCCACTCACGTGCTCATTCTCTCTAAATAAATAAAATACAAATAAAAAATTTTAACAATACTCTCTATATATTAATTCATTGGATCCTTATGATGCAAGTATTATCATAATTCACAATTTTCCAGATAAGGAAGCTGAGGCAAGTTGTCCAAGGTAAGCTAGCAAATGATAGAGCTAGAAATCAAACCCCAGCAGCCTGGTTCTTACTCACTATGCTTTATTTCTTCTCACACAAGACCCTAGACGAGACTTTCATGAATTAGAAAAATCAATAAATGGATACTTAAAAAAATGAGTGAATAAATGAATACATGGATTGCTGAATCAAAATTAACTCATGGAAAAAAAAGAATAAGCCACTGGACAGTAAGAAAAATGATCAGAAGTGTTTTTATTTCTTTTAAGGATTTTATTTATTTATTTATTTATTTATTTATTTATTTATTTATTTATTTATCTGAGAGAGAGAGAAACAGCATGAGAGGGGAGAGGGTCAGAGGGAGAAGCAGGCTCTCCGCTGAGCTGGAAGCCCGACGTGGGACTCGATCCCAGGACTCCGGGATCATGACCTGAGTCAAAGGCAGTCGCTTAACCAACTGAGGCACCCAGGCGCCCCAGAAGTGTTTTTGTTTTTGTTTTTTTGTGTTTTTTTTGAGCTTTTATATTTGAGTTTATTCTTCATTTTTTTTTTAAAGATTTTATTTATTTATTTGACAGAGAGAGACACAGCGAGAGAGGGAACACAAGCAGGGGGAGTGGGAGAGGGAGAAGCAGGCTCCCCACAGAGCAGGGAGCCCGATGCGGGACTCGATCCCAGGACCGTGGGATCATGACCTGAGCTGAAGGCAGTCGCTCAACCAACTGAGCCACCCAGGCGCCCCTTCATTTAACTTTTAAAACACGACTATAGTTGAATATTAAAACAAAAACAATAGCAAGTAGTGAGCTATGATTACAGTCCTTCACTCATTCACTACTGCATATAAAATGCCAGCAGTGTTATTCACTGGCCCCATTAAGAGGTCTGACACTGAACACCACCCCTGGAATGATGTTCATCATCCTCAGAGGCTTCCCCATTGTAATGGCGCCATCTTTCCTGATTTGGATCAAAGTCCCCCGGTTCTACCTGGTCCATTTCATCAGTCTCTTCTACTTCCTTCCTCTCAGGTAGGAGTTTTTCCAGCAAAGAGAGTTTATCAGGAGAGAGAAAGCCATTCTCAGGAAAGTTTACCTTAAATTCAATGATTAGGCGACCCTTCTCATATGGTCTACAATAAATTGGCATGCCTTCATTTAGCACACACTTGATATCTCCATGCTTGACAATTTGACCTGGGTGAGAGGTGATGACGATGGTTCGGTTGTCAAGAGTAGATATTGGCTTTTGAAAGCCGCACAGTGCTTCAACCAGCTGTATGTCCATACACATGAAAAGGTCTTCTCCTCGCCGAGTAAAAACAGCGTGGTCCTTCTGATCTAAAACAATGATAATATCTCCTGGTTCCAGTCCTGGTTCTTGGTCTCCTTCACCATGGAATGTTATCTTCTGGCCATCCTTCATGCCTTTGTCAATATGAACTTCTAGAATCTTCTTCTCTCGAACTATCTTCCTCCCATTGCAGCTTTTACATCTATCTTTGGGACTGATCCGTTCCCCATGGCCCTGGCACTCCATGCACACAGACTGAATTTGCTGAACCATTCCAGGTCCTATCTGATGAATTCTTATTTGCATTCCAGTACCTCAGCAATTGGGACAACATTCGACTGCTCCTTTCTTACCACCTCAGCCTTCATATTTATCGCAAATCACATTCTTTTGCAGAGCTAGTTTTCGTGTTGCACCATTATATAAATCTTCTAAGGTTACTGAGAGCTGATGCACAACATTTTTACCTCTCCTTTCTCTCTGCATCCTTCCTCCTCCTCCAAAAAACATATCAAAGATGTCCATGGGGGAGCCAAAACCACCACCAGCTCCACCTTCTTTAATTGCCTATTCTCCTCCTTTGTCATATAATTCCCTTTTCTTTGCATCAGAGAGTACTTCGTAAGCTTGAGAAATCTGTTTAAACTTGTCTCCTTCATTTGGATTCTTATCAGGGTGATACTTCAAGGCCAGTTTCCTGTAGGCCTTTTTCAATTCCTCTTGGGTGGCATTGGGTTTGACCCCCAAAACATCATAGTAAGTGGTTTCTTTCACCATTTTCTACAGCCGGTGAGAGGGCAGAGGCCGGTGTTGGGGAGCAGGAAGGAGCGCGTTGCTGGGCGCAGCTCGGGCAGCTGCCGCTCCTCCGTGTCTCACCGAGCGTTCTGGAAAGTTCCCCAGAAGTGTTTTTAAAAAGTAGGTATTTGAGAGGGATGAAAACACATAAGTATAAATAAATGCAAAAGAGCAAATAAAAAAGAACAAGACCTTAAGGACTGGGAAAAGATGTCCATTGGGGAAGAACAAGGGCACCTCCCTTTTTGAAATGAGAGAGAAACAGGTAAGGGTAGCACAGAGAATAGTCATCGGGACACAGAGAGGACATGCTGAAAGATTTTATCTCCTCCCAATGTCCCAGGCCTTTCTCCATAGGCCATGGCCTTTGAGGAGAGCTTCCCACTAAAGATCTCAAGGTTGTTTCTGGGGCTTTCCCCCACCTGATCAACCCCTGCCTGGGCACAGTCCTTCTGTCACATCCAATCATCCAGGGCTCTTTCCCGTGTTCGCATAAGGAGATCACATCTGGCTTAGAAATGGAATATTCTCTTCACACACACACACACACACACACACACAGAAGAAAAGAAAAGAAAAGAAAAGAAATGGGACTTGACCAAGTTGTAGAGATTCCAGAATTCAAATCCAGTTGCTTAGAAATGAAGGAAGAGAGGCAATCCCAGATAGGATTTTAAAAGGTGGGGGGCAGGGAGGAAAGGTTTTCTGGAGATAAGATGAAATTGCCCAAAGGAGCCGCTCATTCCCAAACTTACAAAGCACAAACTACTCCCTTAAGAAAAGAGAAGAAAAAAAAAAAAAGAAGAAAGAAAGAAAGAAAAGGGAAGAGAAATTCTTCTAGGCACATGAAAGACGACCCATAAAAGCACAAATAAGAAATTCCAGAAATATTTGGAGATGGATATGCTTACCCACTGAAATTGGGCTGCTATAGTTCTGTAACATCACATCTCTATACAAATCCTTCTGAGCAGAGTCCAGGCATTCCCACTCTTCCTAAGAAAAGTCTACAGCCATATCCCTGAACATCACCAATCTCTGGAAAAAACAAATCCGTGTAGTACTAGTGAAATTGAAGGAAATATTTTAAAATGGAAGAATCAGAACTGTAAAAGGACACTGAGGAGAAAGGGTGAAAGGCTGGAGCTAGAAGTTTGTGTTATAATACAGCACAGTAAAATAATTAGAGTACATGCACGTTGCTTAAGCATGGTAGGACTTTTCCATTATCCTTATATACCTGGAAGTGAACAAAATCTATGTGGAGATTAAAAAAACAAAAAACAGGGGCGCCTAGGTGGCTCCATCAGTTAAGTGTATGGCTCTTGATTTTGGTTCAAGTCATGATCTCAGGGTCATGAGACTGGGTCCCACGTCAGGCTCCACGTGGAGTCTGCTTAAGAGTCTCTCTCTCCCTCTCCCCCTACCCTCTCCCCACCCCACTCCACTCCCACTTGTGCACCTGCTCTCTCTCTAAAAAAAAACAAAAACAAAAACAAAAAACAATGTTTATGAAATACAAAGCAAACTATAGGCTTGGTAATAAACAAATTATAAAAAAAAAAAAACACATGAATTCCTCATCTCCCATGAAGAACTAAACAAGAAAAAGGATTTTTCCATAACATCTTATAATAATAAATATTTCCTTCTTGGAAAACAGAATTAGAACCAGGAACTAAAACATGGCTGGATCTGGGAACAAGAGAACTTCAGAACTGGAAAGATGAAGGCTGGGCCTTCATTTTACTGTAATTTTTAAAAAACAAACTCAAGCTTACAGAATAGTTGGAAGTACAGTGGAAAGACATGCCCCATACCTGAATACTTCAGAGTGTGTCTCTCACAAACCAAGGACATTCTCACATATGACACAATACAACCATCACCATCAAAATCAGGAAATTAATATTGATACGCTATTACCTATCCTCAAACATACCATGTGAATTTTGCCAATTGTCCCAATAATGTCCTTCATGGCAAAATGAGTTCAATATCATGTCATGTCTCCTTAGTTCATTCCATCTGAATCACTTCTTCAGTACTCTTTGATTTCCATGAATTTGACAGTTTTGAAGATTATGGGCCAGTTACTTTGTGGAATTACCCTAAATTTAGTATTGCCTGATACTTCCTCATGATTAGATTCAGATTATACATCTTTGGTGGGAAGGTCACAGAAGTAATACTATGTTCTCAGTGTACTGTATCACGTTATACACAACTTGTCCCATTATTGATGATATTCACTTAGATCATTAAATTAAGGTGGTGTCTGTCAGACTTAGCTAAGGAAGAAAGCTTAAGAGGATGTAAGTAAATATTCCATTCATCAAATTTTCAATATATTTATTTTTTATATCAGTATGGATTCGTGGTTTCTCACTGTTGGAGAAGGGAGTTACAAATATTGAGAAGGGAAAAATTAGAATAAATACTGTGGTGTTAGAATGAAATTAGAGGAATCAGTGTGAACTCACGGTTTCTAATATATACAGTTAAATATAGAAATAAGTAAAGATGCTTAGATTTTGGCTCCTAAATATTTGGCTCCTAAATGCTTAGATTTGGCTCCTAAAAATTTCCTACTTAAAAGGATATTGAGGGGCACCTGGCTGGCTCAGTTGGAGGAGTGCAACTCTTGATCTCAGGGTCATGAGTAGGAGCCCCATGCTATTCCATCATGTGGATACAGAATGATTTACTCATAATTTATCTATTATTGTATATGAACTCTGGGCCAGGTCTTTATACTACATAATTCTCCTTATCTCTAAGTATATCCATAAAAAAATATCCAGAAGTAAAATCACTGAAAGTTAAAGGTCATTCCCAGATATTACATAGTTTTTGATTCTAAATAAATCATTCTAAATCTTTTGAGGTTAGACTCCCTTTGGTGGATATTATGAAAATATACATTCCTCTCCTCCTAAGATGGAACTGGACTTTTGGGGTCCACCTAACCACTGTCCAATAAAAACATAATACAAGCCATACATGTTAAATTTTCTTATAGCCATATTTTTTTTAAAGTAATAGAAGATAAAATGAATTTTAATAATATACATTATTTAATCCAATATTTTCAAATATTATTTCATCATGCAATCAATATAAAAGAATTATTCATAGGATATTTTACATTCTTTGTTTCCTACTAGGTCTTTGAAATCTGAATGTATTTTATACTTACAGCCCATCTCAATTCTGATCAGTTACATTTCAAGTGCTCAATGGCCACTTGTGGCCAGTAGCTACCATATTGCACAGCACAGGCTCAGTATTATAGCTCCCATCTTTCACTGTGACAGGAACACCTAGGGAAAAGATTACTGAATGATCTTGATTAAGAATTCTCACGAGAAGGAAAACAAACACTCTCATGCTCTGAAAAAATAAGAAGTCACTTTCAGGAAAGAAAACAGCCACTAACCTCAGAGTTTATAGATCACCATTTTTTTCCTTGTCCTCTGGGCACCTTTCTTGGAAATGGGCAGAAATAGGAGAAGGAATCATGAAATATGGGCCCCTGCTTGTAACCCAGAGTGACCCAGAAAAATCACAGCCTCAATCCTTCCCCACTTGTCACAGACCCACAGAGGGAATCTGGGCAAGCAGGCCCTCCCAGGATTAGAGAAGAACCAAATTCCTCTACAAGGTGGTCCAAGGTAGGGCAATTCAGAGGCTATAGGGGAATCTCCTCCTTCTATTCCAGAGTTAAACTGGTGGAAACCTCCAAGTTTCATTTTAAGACCTGGCATAGAGCATGGAGACCCTTCACCTCAAAACTTTACTCTAGGCTCATGTTCTTCCTTGCGGGTGATTTCTATGAAACTCTCCTGTCACAATAAGGTGAGAGGGTAGAGGGGCAGCAGAGACCGCACAGTCAGAAGCTTCCAGAAATCGAACACTCACAGTTAGCCTCCGGGTGCACATCACTCCCATAATGCCCAATCTGTGTCAGCTCCTAATAGGATACGGCTTGGAGATGCCAAGAGAAAACTGTACAGGTCCTGCTCGCATGAGGGTGTAGTGGCACTGTTGTGAAGCGAGGGGACAGGCCTGGGAGAAAAACAGGGGATTGGCACTAATACCAACCCCAGAAACACAGAAATAAGAATCTGTACCCATCCCCTGCCAGTTACATTCCTATGGTCAAACGCTCACAACTTCCCTCACGGTCTTCAAAATCCCCAAAAGTACCATTGCACAGCCAATAGAGATCCCAGAAACACTGAAATGAAGACAGAAACCTCTCACACCCACTCGCCTCACAGCCAAACTCTAATATTGTGACACAGGGTAACCACACTCATAGTCGCCTTCACAGAGACGCAAAAGCGGCCACAGAAACAGTATCACGCTGTCATAATCCAACCAACCCATATCCCGGAGACACAATTATGGAGATTTAAAAAAAAAATGGGGCAACTGGCTGGCTCAGTCAGTGGAGCATGCGACTCTTGGTTTTGGCGTTGTAAGTTCGAACCCCACATTAGATGTAGAGAGATTACTTTAAAATCTTAAAAACCGGGCGCCTGGGTGGCTCAGTTGGTTAAGCAACTGCCTTCGGCTCAGGTCATGATCCTGGAGTCCCGGGATCGAGTCCCGCATCGGGCTCCCTGCTCGGCAGGGAGTCTGCTTCTCCCTCTGACCCTCCCCTCTCTCATGCTCTCTCTATCTCATTCTCTCTCTCAAATAAATAAATAAAATCTTAAAAATCTTAAAAACCAAAAACAAACCCCAGGTATGGAGATTATGCTTATACCATCTCCACTGCTCTTCACCTCCAAACCCTTACCAAAATAAATAACACAAACGGTGACATGCAGTCACACACAATCACATTCACACAGCCGTACCACACTACACTTCCACTAGCTGAACAACACAAATATAAAGCAACCCCTCCAGTACATAGTCAATAACATAGACAAGAGACACACACAGTCCACGCCGTCACAAACGGTCACACGCATAATCCTGCAGTCACAATCATGCAAGCGTCACACAGCCAGCCGGTGCCTCACCCCACCCCACCCCTCGTGCGCGCGCGCGCGCGTCCCCGCCGCCGGCTCCGCGCTCCCTCACCGACCGCCTCTCGAGGGTGGGTTCGGCCGGCTTCAAACCGCACAAACGAAGCTCCCGCGAGGCCGCAGCCTGGCTCCTAGGCGACGGATCTGGGACAGAGAGTAGCCTTGGGCACAGAGGCTTCTCGGTAATGTAGCCCGGAGCCCCGAAAGCCGCGGACCGCGCCGGGATGGGCGGTAGATTCTGCCCGGAGACTGGAGTTGCCCTGAACTGCGGGGCCTGAGGAGACCCTGAGTTCACTCACCCTGGGCACCGGAGATTTAGCCAAAGCAGAACTGGGGCAGGTGGCAGCCTCGAGAAGAAGGTTCCAGGAAATGGAGGCCAGGGCTAGATGTCACTTAGAGGCGCGGTGGGCCCTGTGAAATGGAATCGTGAGTGGAGCCAGCCTCGCCCGCCTGGCCTGCGCTCCCCTCCGTGGCACCTCCGTTGCAGTGGCTGTCCCCGCGCAGAGCAGGCCCCTCCGCCCAGAACTGAGCCTCTTTCCTCGGCTGGGACAGTTCACGCCCCCAGAAGCGAATCAGTGCGCTGCGAAGGCCTGTGGTAGTCCCAGGGAAGGGGAAAACGCGTGCAGCTCTAAACCGAGGCCATGGTCCTGGGAAGTGGAGGGAGGCAACTGCCAAAGGGATTCAAAGGACAGTGTGCGATCCTTAGCGACAGACCCTATGACTCTGCTTAAATACTGATACATTACATCTGTAGGGGGCAATGAGGGAGGCTCCATTTCAAATTGGGTCAAAAAATCAGAAGAAATAAAATAGGGGCGGCTGGCTTGCTCAAAGGTGGAGCAGGGGACTCGATCTCGGGATTATGAGTTTGAGCCCCAGGTTGGGTGTAGAGATGACTTAAAAATAAAATCTAGAAAGAAAGAAAGGAAGGAAGGACGGAAGAAAGAAAAGAAAGAAAAGAAAGAAAGAAAGAAAGAAAAAGAAAGAAAGAAAGAA